AAAAACTGCGGAGACAGAGCCCCTTTCCCTCTTCCGGGACTGAAAAAACAAAAAGTTTTCGACCCCACTCGGGTACTGAGAGAGGAAAGCCCAACGACATGGCACACAGTCCAATTACTCAAGTTTTTACGGTAGTGGGTTCGCATGGGGTGCCGTAAAATGTGGTTGCGCCCTTCACCAGGCGGCGTTTTTTTATATAAAAAAAACGGGAATGGTGGGGAGGAGACTTGGGATGGAGAAAATGGGTGGTTTTGGGAACAAACAGAAGGATCCGGGTCACCACCGGCTTTTTCGAGCAGAGCCCAATCGCCTCCTACAGTGGATGTTAATCAACTCTCTGCGAAATAGTGATCCTGGGTATTCTAATTGTGGAGTATATTGCGTGAGCTGTGGAGATGCGAAAAATTGGCGATTTTCAGAACGGGTATCATACTAGTACAGTACACATTCTCCGTGAGCAAACTCTACACTCCACTCGAGCTTATCCTTTTCGCTACCCCTCTCATATCATTTCCTACCATACGCGAGCTGTGACGTGTGAGGCCAAATGTATATAGTTCTTGGGCAAAATTCATCGTTGCTGGGACCAAGTACCGACCAAAACGCGCAAAAAAAAAAAGGTCGAAATTCAAAGTCACGGAAATCGCAATTTGCACCACCACCTCTCAATCAATTAAAACGAAAAATATATCAATGGATAGCCGAACACTTATCAGTTCTAAAATTTGTATGATACTTTACCGAAACTCGCCATGCCTGTTGCTGCCCAAAGCAAGAGAGTATGGAAAAGGGATAAAGGGCGGTGCAATGAGATTGAAGTCGCTGTGGGTCAGGCACTGACCGTGGGAAAACAGTAAACTAAACGGCCGGTAGAGATCTTAGCTAAGGGTAAGCCGAGAAGTGTATATATCTCCCGGACAAATATCATCTCTAGAAGCCAAACGAGATTCCACAAAGAGTGGCAAATGAGAGAACTACAGAGAAACATCCTGGCAATGATAGAAATCCAATAGACCCTCAGGGGAGGTGGGTGAACAATCCATCATCACCAAGCACAGCCCACAGCCACGGCGAGAAACGGCCCCCGAACCGAACGCCCTACGCCGACCGCCCAATGGCCACCGGCAGGAATAAAATAAAACCAACGCAATTACCACACACCTAACCATAAGCCATGAAAGCCGCTACCGAAGGCCAGGTGTTTGGCTGCCCCATTTCCCGTGAGTAATACAGCAGAAAGGGGACTTAGGTCCTGAGGGAAAACTTATGTTATTGCGACCGGCCCCCGAACTGTTTGAGACTTCATTGCAAGCTGGGCTCAATGAGGCTTTCGTATTTGAGGTCAAACAGGCAGTGAATTGCGCTGTCGAGTGAGCGTTGGCTTATCGAGATGGTGGTGCCTGGTAACTGGACCCAGCTCCGAGAAGCTTATAGCCACTTAGGACACACCAGATGATATGCCTTAAGGTCCGTGACTGCCCCGGATTCCCGCGATCCCCAGTGGCCGATAGATGCCAAATAATACTCGGAGCTTAATAATCCCATAGCTCAACTGTTCCATCCCTCCAATGCATATTAGTTATCCGCGTTCTACATCCCATCGGGAACCTCCACTACGCCACTGACGGGACTATTGTATAGTCTCAAATAATCAAACCGTGTGTTATGTCGTTGGGATTGCCTCCTCTCGTAGGGTCTGGCTTTTTTTTTGCGCCTCTCCGAGGGGCTGAGCAGCTCTTCTTTTGTCGTGTTTTCCCCCCTTTTTCCAAAGGAGGGAATTCTCGACTACAAAGCACATGGTCTGATTATCTGAGATTATGCGGTAACCGGAGATCCCCGTGCCGGGATTCGGTACGGTCTTTGCCTCTAAGTACAGTACCTGTTCCCAAGGTTTTGGCCAAGTCCGGGCAGACTAGGTTACCTGGATAGTCTTTGATCTAGAGAAGCGACAGGTACGAGTACTGCTACTATAGAAACCGGGTTTGTCTGTCGGGACTTATGTATATGTTGTTGGGGAGGAGATGCGAGTGGGTTAATGATGTCGAATCTAGCATCGCCGAGGCACATATGTTGGTGGGGCTAAGGACCAGAATTGGATGGTGATCTTAGGTTGTCGTCTTAAGCTAGGTGTAAATTTGCGAAGCTGTGAAGATGAACACTGCCCTCTGGGAGATCTAGGGATCTCCAGAGCCTCGTTCCGTCCTCCTCTATTTCATCCCGGACGGTCAAGAACCAAACACATCATGCCTGCCCTTAGATTTATCCTCCTGGACTTCCCGTGCGCATAGAATGCCGTCCTACGGCTTGGTACGGACTTCCTCCGATGGGTGAACAGCGCTGGGCCCACATCCTGCACTGGAACCACGAGAATCCAGACTCCTCAGACACGGGATGTATTACCTCTGACCAGGGCTTCAGCCAACGGAAGAGAGTGGAGTTTTCCAACAAGTGCTCGACGGCGGATCAGGAATTTGGTGATTTGGGTGTGGATGGCATTGTTCATAGATATATACTGTGTGTCCAGGGCTGGACGTGTGTTAACAGATAGGTGAATGTATGAAACCAGGTCTTCCACAAGGTGGGGTTTTTTTTCCTGTAGTCTTTCGGACTCTTTCCCCCGCGCCAGGAGAGTGCTGGATTTCGAACTTATGATGCATAGTATGCGTCAGAGATTCCGAGCTGTGGCCAAGAACAGAAATTTCTACCAGTAGTAGATGACACTTCAACGGAATGGGGGAACTTCCATGGTGGATACCATCTTTCCCACTCCAGCGAGTCGGTTTACCATTCCCCCAGGAGCCAAAACCATGAACCAGGTAATCATGTCTACCAACCTCAGCGGGTGTAAACTAGGACTCTGGTCCCTCCAATTCGATTACCTCACCATCTGAGTCCTCCTTCTAACGCCACACAAAAGCACTACAGCTAATTGTATAGACCGCAGCATCTTCTTCAACCTCCCTGGCGCAAGGTACCGTGCTCGAGTACGTTGATTCTATTCCCAACATGTTGGTGGAGGGTTGTGAATTGACCCCTTATATGGAAGGCTAAAGAACAACAGCACCACGGATACCTCCATCGCGGTGTTTCGGCAAGTGCCTGCGGAATGCTACGGTAGCCCCTTCGAGTCCGCGATTCTCCGATGTCGGGCTAACTTAAGCGTCTCACACGGTTGAGCAACCAAGTGGCGGGAACACATCCAAGTCCGAGGGAATTGTACCATATCCAAAAATGAGGGATCTAGTTTCTATTTTGTACTCGAGTACTGTACTTGTATCATACTTGAGCAACACAGGAGATATTAACAAGCACCGGTAGTAAAATCGCGACAAGAGCCGGCATTGGTAGTGGGAAATAAATTTGTTGATAAACTTATCAAGGATTGAAATAGGATTTTGCGGTCTCGCAACCAGAGTCAAATTCTGGCAATCTGGTTGGTCCAGACCCGAATTCTCCTCACATCTGGTAGAGACTCTAATAAGACTTTCCCGATTGAGCCGAAGAGTTGAAGACTACTGCCGAATCCCTGAGATGAATACGAGCGTGTATTCATGCGGTAGGGTTTAACCGCGGCAGATAGAGTGTGAAGAAGTATGGTGACACGGTAGCATTCCTTACAGGAGATTGGTGGTGCAAGGAGAGCGTGCAAGGTTACTATTCTTGGACCCTTATCGCCTTTGGAGAGAGGGCAAGAGAATCAGGGGAATCAGGATAATTTACAGTAAGTTAGTGTTGGGTTGGTGGCAGGTGACTCTACCCCAGTGTGGGAAGCGCTCCTCAAGTTTTGACAAGCGTATTGCAGGGATCAGGACCTGGGGTTTTATGAGTCTCGCTAGATGGCAACAAATACGGGCACAGTACTGGTACTCGAGTACAGTCAGTATTGTACAGTGTACTGCCCTCACAGCAACAACACCCATTCTCCAAACCTTGAAGAGGCGAAAGGCTGAATGCAGTCAGGTTATTGAGAAATTATCGCCAATTTACCCCCTCGCTACACTGAATCGCTAATTGACCACTCGGGTGTTTGGCCTTCATATTTTTCTCCAAATGCGCAAATATCGTGGCGAAGCCGAATACCGGAAATTAACTTGTAACCCGCCACAACCAGGAACCTCATAATCGATAGGCAAAAACCCCTTTCCCTTTAGTCACTCTGCCAAAAAAAAAAAGCACTCAGACATAACCCTTTTGCACTTTCACCAAACGCCCGCTTGTACGAGTACAGTATGCAAGGTACCAGCAGGAAAACCCCTGAACCTTGGCTCCTCCATCCCCCAAAATACGGCATCGTATTGGAGCACAAGTATTGGTACGGTGGGCTGTCCTTGTGCAACCTCCCCTTTGAATTGGCCAGAACAAACCTTGTGATACGTGCAGTTCCACAGAGTCAGACTGACCAGAGCACTCAACTCTGTTTGCGACTTTTTGATCGCCATCCACGCGCATTAATCTTATTCTGATTACTTATGCAAGAGGGAAGGGGGAGGGATCCAATAGCGGTCTTTTTGGGGCCGAAGCGAAGTTCCCCCTTGTTGTGGAGTGGGAGTAGGGTACCGGGAGAGGAAAAAGAGCACAAGTATGATATGCTATTCCAGTGTCAGGTTGTTAGTTTCGTGCCCAAAGCACGAGATGGTTTAAATTTAGGGTCTGATTGGGCGGAAGTGTTGTGGAAGTATCATACCGGTACTTAAAAATGGATCTTCGGGAGCAGTTACCTGGATTGAGGGATATCAAACATTGTGGTATCATAGGCTTTTCGAGGATACACAGAGCGACAGGGGCGGAGGGGGGGAATGATTGAGCTTTTGTGAATGTAGGGGGTCAATAGTGTGGAAGGGGGTTACTCGTACTTGTACAGTAGTATCGATAGCCACGAGGCGAGCGTGGAACGTAATAAAAATTGCTTGTCAAACAGTGGATACTAGTATATAACTCGGTCCATTCCCATTCTCCTCCCCAGTCCCTCTCCACCGCCTCCTCAGTGCTTACGTCTTTATCGGGACAGATCCTTTCCCATTTTCCTTTCCTCTCATACTAGCTACTTACACAAACCACTTTGTGTGTCCCCTCCTTTTCAAAATGAATTCCTACACAGCCCAACACGTAGTGGACCAGCCGCCATGGATAAAGTTCATCCGCATAGCCCAGGTCTCCCTCTCGGTGCTCATTCTTGCACTGGCAGCTTTCGCCCTGAGCGCAATCCCGTACGGGAATACTTTCGGCACGTTCGGGTTCAACATCTTCACCGTACATCCCCTCCCTCTCCCCCCGTCTACCTGACCATACTAACAGTAAACATCTAGTGCATGTTTACCCTCATAGTAGGTGCTTACCTTCTCATAACCCCCCTCAGGGCGCCAAAACTGTACAATTGCTGGGCCGCTTTCGTCCTCGAGATTTTCGGCGTGTTTTTCTGGCTATCCCCTTTCGCGACGCAAGCGTCGTGGGCTTCGCTCGGACTGCTCACTGTCGGTTCCCTTCGCAAGCGCGATGCCAAAAAATCATCCTCCTCATCATCCTCCTCATCATCCTCAAATGACGTTTTCGGCTCAGACTACCTGGACAACATAACCAAGGAGGCAGAGGAACGGTATGCGAGGTACAGAGCTGGGTGGAGATGTGCTGGGGCTGCGGCTGGTCTGGGAGGAATTGTTTGGTGAGTTACCGCTCGCCTTGGTTGCTGAATGAAGACTGGGTGATAGCTAACGGGGGGGGGGGTGATATGATAGGATATTATTTATGATTACCCTGATCACTTACTCCATCTTCCTGCACCGTCATAAAAAAAAACCGGGGAAAAAAAACTTGCCCGAAAATGGCAGCCCTGCCAAGGAAGGTGGGGAGGGGGGAATCCCGCGTCCTGGTGCGGCGGAGATAAAAGGGCATGAGATGGGGAGTGTGCATGTCGTGGCTGTGGGTGGGGATTACCCGAGGCCTTATCAGCATTGATTTCTATCTTTATATTTTTCATCTTCGTAGTGTCGTAGCTGGCTTGATGTTGGCAGTTTGCAAGAGTATTTTTTTTACGCGGGTGGTATCACAAGTTATTCACGATATTGGGATGGGGGATGGGGTTTTGGGATCACATAAACTTTACACTTCATTATTCAATTTTTTTCCTTTTCATTTCCCGGAGCACTCCACGGTACGAGTGAGTGAGTACAAATGATATAAATCCGCACCGAGCCATCGAAACCCAACACGTTTCCGACACAAAACCGACCCATGCATGCCAAGAGCAAACCGAGTGACAATGCATGACAACGAGTATGTGCTACATACCGTACGCTTCTGGAAGTACCGGCACTGTGCTGGCATTACCCCCAGCACTCCGGACGGGGGGGTGGTTTCATGGGTTTGGGAAACTACTGGGGTGTTTGGCATATTGCAGATTTATAGAGGGGTGGGGACACCAGATATGGCCCTAGTTGGAGTGCTTAACCAACTTATGATAAGGTTGGGCGAGAACACGGGCCGAATATGATACCATAACCGTCGGTTCTGAAACCTTCGTTTTTTTTTTTTTTACACAACCAGAATCAGGCCAGATTGTACCGGTTTGATAATTCCCGTATTCTCCCAGACAGCCATTGCGCCAGATTTGTCGTGCCTGCCTGCAGCGCACCGTACCCCACTGCACCCCTCACTTGGCACTGTGCTGTACCAGTACGAGTATCATACTGTGAAGTACCGTACTCCCGCCGCGCCCGGGGTAAGCACATAACTCGAAGCCTTTTACAGTACAGCACCGCTGGTGCTGGTGCTGGCGCGCGCTGCGCAGACGATAGCACTTACCGGCACACACAACCTACCGTACGCCGTCAACGCTCAGATGTTTGGCCCTGTTTCATGGCTTTCTGTAGGTGCATTGGTGAAACAATTGTGCTATTGCTAGGCTAACAGGCTAACTCTTCTCTTTAAAGGGCCTTGCTCGGCAGAGCACTTTTATGGCATAATAATTGACTTCCTATTCAATATTCCATATTCTCTGGATTTACCATTTATTGGGAATGTTTTTTGCCGGAGGGTATCCGGTTTTGGGGATGAAGGGAATAGAAACTATTCGGGCTGTCATACTATATACTAACTTGGCTTGTTTGAAATTCTCTCGGAAGGGTCGATGGCGCAGTCTCGTATCTCGTATCATACATCATACCGTATCAACCATTCTTGCATGAGAGGTTGATTGCTGACAACCAATATCTGAAAAACTCGATTTACCGTGGGAATTTGAACAACTGAACCGTGTGCCACCGCACTTGTACTCGTACTCGAGTATGTCGTTGGGCTTTCCTTTCTCAGTAAGGTCAAGGAACCTTTTCCTTTTTTTGTCTCGGAAGGGGGAAAGGGGCTGTATCCTTTTTCTTCTTCTGTGTTTTTCGCCCCTATCCAGACAAGGAAATTTTGGACTTCATAGCACAACGGCTCAATTATCCAAGTTCCCACCGTAAAGGGGCCATGTGCTTTTTCATCACAGTGCGAAATCTCTTCCTCTAGAAAGGGGGCGAGAAACACGCCAAGCAACCTATGTTCCGAGACGAATCAAAAGGAGAAAAAAACACTCCTGTCACCACTACAACATCTTAGTTCCCTAAAAGGGGTATCAGTCACACTACCGTACCCCCAGTTACAACATGATCTACACTGGTGCCACCATTACTATGATACGACCACTACTAGTTTCGATCAACTAGGCGATAAGAGCACATTCACAATGGAGTCCCGCTGTCAATGTAGTTCTTCTGAAGAAACCTTCAGGCTCTTTTGCCTCTGCCACTCATAATAGCTTCTTTCCTAAGAAACCACCTGCTAATATAATTGGTCATGGATTTCCACTGAGGGATGACCGTTCTACAGTCCACTGTACTGTACTACCTAGATAACCGTGGCAATAAACGTCCTGAATTCGGAAGTAAGACTTAAATAAGAAGGGTGTGCAAAAGCAACTAAATTTGAAAATGGCGTTGTTAACCTGTAAGATTCTTCTGAGCGCAGGGGAGAGAGGAGGCCAGTGTTTATATAATCTAATCACCAGTGGTATTAATAAGCAAGGCCAGGACGTGTTCTGGGCCAATGTACCTAGTCTAATACCGGTAGCACAGTCCGTCTGTTCTCACTCAATGGCGTGGTTGACGGTGTCAATGAAGACGGTGGTGCCCGGGATGGACGGCAGTGGCGGCTTCTGTCCAAAGCTCTGCCCCTGATGGCCGCCTGGCCCTGTAGTTGTCTTGGCAGGTATCCTGACTGCCGTCAACTACTCGTAAAGGTAACTCCCGGACCTATTTAGGAATAGTACTAGTACCCGACGGCCCGAAAGTATAGCTAATCCCTCGGGCTCCTGTTTTTGCGAAGGGCCCGCGCCAGAGTCCGGCACTCCAAGACAACCTACCTTGGACGACCGGGACGTTTGAGTGCGCTAGGAATACGCATCAGATCTCGAAATTGAGCCAACCAATTGCTGAAATTTCCATTCTCACCAATAGTTAGACGTAACTTTCGCTAATGGAACCTCAGCTGCAGGGCTGCAGCAGCCACCTACCGGCTAGGCTCTGAGACACAAAGGCTAGCAAGTTCGCCCAACACCGGAAAGGTGCTCTTATTCACATCAGAGTGATCAACTATACAACCAATCACACGAGTGGGCTCGATATCCAAGTTGCATGAGCAAAGTGGCGGTTCTACCTGATTGCTTCATGCATCAATGCAATCAAAGGGTGAGGACCATGTTTAGTATGCATGACGATATGGCGCGGTCGGGAAAGCGCACGATTTTCGAATTTGGATTTGCTTTGGAACGGCGGCCAGGAATTATAGCCTACGGGTAACTTAGAACACGATCAGAGATGGGGAAGCAAGGGCGAAACACAGGGCCCGCCAGGCACGCCGTTGGTTAAGCAATTGATCATCTCTAATCACGTTTGGTCATTTTTCCTTATTCCCCCTGTGGGCGGAGTGTGAGCTGCAGGCCGAACGTACTATTTCTCTCCAAGGTATTTTCATACACAGATTTCAAGATATCATAACGAACTGCTCAACCAACAGCTGGCCAAGTATTCCTGTGCCTCACAATACTATCTCCGGACCAACCCATCACTATTGCATAAGGTAGCTATCTGGGGGGGGGGCAAAGAATTAACAGTAGAAAGTCTAGATCAGGGATGTGAGCGTGAAAGGAATGGATGGTGATTGATTGATGTTGTGAAGAGGGGTAAAAAACAGGACCCAGGAGAAAACCCAGGCGGAGGGGTAGCTTAAGAGCAGTATCGTACTGGCATGATTAGCTCAAGATTTAAAAATTGCGGTGTCATTCCGTTTTATGTAAAGGACGATTTTTGTCTGTGATAATTTATGATTAGTGATGCCACGATCAGATCATGCTCGAGCAGGACCCTCATGATCTGCTCGAGTTGCTCGATCGGGGGTACTGCCCCATCATGCTCGATCATGATCAGTCATGATCGATCGCTCTATCTAAATATGTATAATATTATACCTATATCCATCTTGGTAATCATGTGATATCACCTATTTATATAAACACTCTCTACGCCGCACACTCGATAACATATCCTCGACAACACACTCTACTATTGATTCTTTAACACGCTTTACCTCCCACTTCTCTTGCCTAAAATGTCCTCGCTCTCATAGTCTCCTACGACATGCCGGGCGTCATAGTTGGTGCCCGTACGCTTCAAAATATCCCACAACATCTACTTGCCCGTTTCCGAACGCGTCGTGGAAGGCTATCGCCTCCGGAGTGCGACCATAAGGATACTGTCGGTTAACTAAAGGCAAACAGCTGACCCGCAATACGGAAGTGACCCGAACGGAGTCCATTCATACTCACACAGGAAGTGGGGGATCCTCAGGCATCTAGTCGGTTCTTCGGTATAAAGGAATACAGAATATTGATGGTTGTGATGATTGTCGAGACTAACTCAAGTTTTAAATTGGTTGAGAGTAAGGATTTTCCGCGTGCTATTAGCATACCGTGATGGTGAAGAAAAGTTGACCGTGGCCGGCTAGACTCGAGCATAATCGACTATACTCGATGAGTGGGCATGCTCGATCACTGCTCGATCACTCGATCAGGGTCTACCAATTTGATCGATCATTCGATCATGAGGTCGCCCCGATCAGATCATGCTCGGGCGGAACCCCTATGATCTGCTCGATCATGATCTAGCCCATCACTATTTATGATACTAACTATTCCTTATGCTGACAGAGGGGCTACCGTCTATTTTCCATAGCCCACTGGCATGTCTCGCTCGATCTCTATCGTGACAGAGCTAGATAAGAATTAATTTTACCGCCATAGATTCTTTTTGGTACGGTAAGTACAGAACAGGCCCTGAAGTAGAGAGAACAAACATTTATGTGATAAAAAAGAGCCTATATCATGCATTTATTTAGTTAGTTCTTCAGAGTGGCGGTCTATCGGAATTCATTGAGTTTTCTTTTTTCTAGGAGTGCTTAGGTGTATGCAAGTGTGCAAACAACTGAGGATACTGTATAAACGGTGAAATAATAGTCTATTTTTATTTTTATTTTTATTTACTTATTTTTAAATATTTTTGAGTGGGAGAATACTCACCAACTCTCACCGTAAACATGAACGTCTGCTCTCAAACGCGAGGCACTCGAGTCAAGTACCGTCTGGGAACAGCCTGCATAGTACCAAAGTTGCGCCGCTTCGCGGTCAATATTTAGCTAACCCGTAGCGGAACCCGATCTCAAACAAAGTCGGCATTCCATTAGGATCACCCGTCAGGGCCGAGCTAACCGTAATATGACCAAGGATATAAAACTCACTGCAATGTGTAACGGTGTAACGGAGATAAGTAGAATATTATTATATTGTAATAAAATAGTATAAAGAGAAGAATTGTATTAGAATTACATTAAAAAGCTAGGTCAAGCATATAAGACAAGGAACAGTTATACTAGTATTCCCGCACTCTGATTTCTTTATTTAAATCCCTCCTCCCTTCCCTTTTTCTTTCTTTCCTCTCTCCCTCTATTTACTCAACTGCAACAACACTCATTCAAGTTCTCCCTCAAACCACCACTTCTTATCAGACCAACTCTCTTCTATAAAGTCTCTCTATAAAGTCTCTCTATTCCTTCTACAAACTACTAAGCCACAATGCTCTATCAGAACCTTTTAATTTTCCTCTCCTGTATCATCTTTCCAGTTTCAGTAATTGCTATTCCTATCTCTGATGAAGTGTTCAACACTCAAGGTGTTACATCTCCTTCTGCATTGGACAAAGTTGCAGGCAACCCTATTTGGACCAGGATTCGTGAGATTGGAGAAACTTCCTCCAACAAAGACGCTGATATTCTTAATCTGATTAAGGGAACCTTCCTGGACCCTGAAATTATTGCCGCATCTAAATCCTCCTCCGATCCTATAGCTCAAGATATTCACTGCGATACTAGTCCTTCTAGTCCCCGTTACTCAGACTCCCTTCATCTTGTCTCTATTGTTATTTCTCGCTCAGAAAACGAATTTGGACCTGTCCGCAATCCTGGTGGCGGAGCATGTACTGAACATGCAAATTATTCTACTTCTCACTTTGGTATATGCTCATCACAACCTACCTGGATGACTTGGAGGACCTTTGGAACCTTTGCATATGCTGTTACTACTGCTTGTGTGCAGCAACATGGTGCGATGGTATCTGGAGGAAGAAATGTGTGGAATGCTGGGCAGGATGTTAGGGTTTATTAAGTGGTTGACTTGAAGGTTAATAGGGAGATGTTGATCAAATAAAATTATCTACTTATTCAATTTATAAAATTTTTCCTTCCACCAGACCGATGTGACACCCGATTGAACACTGCGATTCCGTTACCCGAACACCACAGAGTACAATTCCGGACCGAACCTCCCCAAGCAGAACAGGGTTTTCACTATTGAATTTCCTTTTGTCTACCTAATATATAACATAAATGGCAAAACTAATCACCGATTGATTTGTATTACCATGAACATGAAGACTCGAAGAAGGTTTAAGACTTCTACCAAGTAACTTCAAGTTGAAGTTGCCTTTTCATCTTTAAAGTATTCTAATACATCATGGAGTATTTATCTTTGATTTATCTTTGGGGATATCTTGATACTTCATAAATTGTTAAACTTGTGGCAGGAACTATGTCGGCTCGGGGGGGGGGAGGTATGTCAAGATAAGCCATGCACAGTACTCGAGTATGTGTAGAAACTAGAATTAGCATGAACGCCATAGTTGAGATGTTTAAGTTAGTGCTAAAACGTACTTCCTCCCCGTATGTACTATCTCGACATACCCCCCCCCCGAACCGACACTGCGTGGTACACGCAGGCGATTCCTTGTTTCCTAGAAAACGGAGATTTGGGTTAAGAGCTCGGGAATTCCGATTGTAACCAGCGTGTTTACAAATGCTTCAAGTATCGGCACCACCAAGACTCTATTTCGGTGGTTTGTGAGGGCTAGGGCTGCATACGATACCACAATTTAGTTACACAGAGATTGGCCATAATATTCTATCCATGGGAATTGGTTTTCGGGGAGCCGGAAAAGGCCCTTGGGCCGTCGGACGGCATTCACTGTTCACGATAGATCACTCGGATTCGCAATCCTTCCTTGACAAGGCGATTGAAAATTTTGAGTGAACTGTGCCAAGATTCTTGCGGCTCCCGGCCTCATGCGCTAACACTTCCGCACTTAATTGGCCAAAGCCTCTCCAGCCCAAGCTTTACCATACCCAGTAAATCAACGTTTAATTAGCTCTCCTCTTCATCGCCCGAGCACGCGAAACTCCAGACATGCCTTTGTCAGCAATATTCAGGTCGCTACAGAGCAATCAACCAGATGCCTACCAGGCCATGAAGGGGGGCCTAGGCCTTCGGCTGTGGGAAATTGTCGCGAATTATTGGGATTTGGGGTTTACTTCTTTCGGTGGCCCTCCAGTGCATTTTCAGATCCTGCGCAAGAGGTTTGTGGATGCCGAGAATGGGAGGATTCCTTGGATCGATGATCAAACCGTGGGTCTTTATCCCCGGGTGACTGGAGATCACTATGCTGATCTGAGTAGTACCAAGAGCTGTTTGCCATCTGCCAGGCACTCCCCGGACCGGCGAGCACAAAATTTGCCTTTTGTATCGCTTTGATACACGCTGGGTTTATTCCAGCTTTCCTCGCATTCCTTATCTGGAGGTTTTTTTTTGACCACACTCTGGTTCCAGAGCTCGTCTAATGAGTTTTAGTCTTCCGGGTGCAATTGGGATGTTTGCTCTGGCGCTCGGGGTTGAGAGAATAGGCGAGGTCCTTCCTGACCCAGTTTATGGCTTGCTCTCTGGTCTCAATGCCAGCACCGTCGGCATTATCGCTCTGGCGGCCGTCCAAGTAACATTCTCGGTTCTATTTCCAATTAGCTTATCTGACTGACAGCCTTAGCTCGCCGAGAAAGCTATCACAGATCCTCTCACTCGTATGCTTGTCATACTAGGAGCTTGTGCTGGGCTTCCATATAACGCACTATGGTACTTTCCGCTACTGATGGCCATCGGAGGTATAATCACAATCTTCTGGGACCTTTGGGGACGTGCCAAGTTTGGCCGTATGAGGGCTCGGTTTAGCCGGAAAAACAGGAACGAGCAAAGGGAGGCCGAGGAGTCTATTGCGTCCGGTGCTGTCCCGCTGGAAAACAGAAACCCTGCTCGGGATGGAGGTCTGCAGAGGCGGGCAGCTGGCCGTGCTGAGGCAAGCGGGGCAACAGCTTCTCCAGCGCCGGGAGACTCGGAGAACGAGATCACAGCCGAGGCTGAAGCGACTCCACAACCTCAGGGAATTGACACCGTTTCCCATGCTATCCCGGTGAAGGTCGGGATTTTGATTATCATCGGATTTTTCGGTAGTTATCCCCCTCGAGATGTTGGCGGGTGGCACTGACGGAATCTAGCCTCCTTTATTGCTCTGATGAGTGTCCGTGGACTCGACAACACTCCATTGGAGTTCGACCTGTTTGCGAATATGTATCTTGCCGGAACCATCATATTTGGTGGAGGGCCAGTCGTTATCCCCCTTCTCCGTGAATATGTCGTTGAGCCCGGATGGGTTTCATCCCGTGACTTCCTTCTTGGCCTTGCCATCATCCAAGCTTTCCCCGGACCAAACTTCAATTGTAATTCCACTTTCCCCCTCCCCCTCTCTTCACCTATATCCGATTAACAATCATTTAGTTGCGGTGTATCTCGGAGCCCTTGCACTTAATCGTGGTTCGTCTTCTGTTCTTGGCGCTTTCTTAGGGTTTCTAGGAATCTTCTTTCCTGGAATTACACTCTCCATCGGCGTCCAATCGATTTGGCGGGTCCTACGAACAAAGCCGGCCGTTGTCTCGTTGCTCCGCGGTGTGAATGCTACAGCTGTGGGCCTCGTCTTCACCGCGGTGTATAGACTTTGGCAAATCGGATATTTGCAAGGCGGCCAAGATGGAAGTGGGAGCCTAGGATTAGAGCCCTGGTGGGTCGTGGTAGCAGCCGTAACTTATTCAAGTGTCCAATGGTGGAATGTACCGCCGCCAGTCGCAATTCTTGGAGGCGCTGTCGGGGGAATCGCCTGGTGGGGCGTTGTGGAGTAGATATAAGTTAGCAAGTCGATGTAAAATGACAGGTTGTAGTGTAAGAATGCGAAGTATGCCAACATGCAACTCTTTGAATAAAGGCCTGAATCCGACGTAGGAAAGCGGGTGGCCTCCGCGGTACACCGTACCATGGTGTTTAATTGGTAGCCGAAATTCATTCTTTGGTCGTTCTTTTGTGACATCATAGCCTTAGAATTGGACACGTGTATGAGGATAACCCACAAATGAGCCTCGGTCCCTTTCCCCATTTTCAATTTCCCGAGCCTGTTCTCCGTGATCAGAGTAATGACGGGTTTTCACGATCTAGCTACGGTACTGTACTATAGCTACCACCATGCATATTGTCGAACTAGACCCGTGGCCGGCGGGCATGGGTCCCCGCGGACCGAACTATAGATTCACTAACAGAGATGAAGCAATAGCTTCTTGGGATCTGAAAGGCGAACACGTTCAAGAGTGGGTCCTACGTACGCAATCCAAAAACACCTATTAATTGTAGGAGACTGCAAGCTATATAGGGGTCAAGTTGAGCCATCATCCCGAGTCCACTTGTTTCCAGCTTCTCAATCCTTTCCCCAAAAAATTTCCCCCATTCCAGCGATCCTTGCTTACTACCCGTAAAGACAATCCCAAGCTAATTTTCTACTCGAGTATAGGAATGACACAAATTTTTATAGCCTACATGCAAATGATGGCTCCCGGCAACCACCCCCCCGGGTCCCGAATTTTGGGTTCTAGATAACCCGGTCAACAGATATCTAGAATTTCAACATTAGCCCTGCGGTGGCTGTCAACTTGCCACCATGTTTGGAATCGCCCCCAAGGCCACTTCCGCCCTCACTAGCCTGCTCTGGTCCCGAGTGATTGCCGACGGATAGCGATTTTCTGCACATGATTATCCGTCCGCGCGAGTCCCGCGCTGTTTGATGGATGGGAGTGGATTGGTCCTTGCTGGGACAGCTGATACGGAGGAAGCTCTTCGTGATAACCACATGACACCCCCTTCACCGCTCAATGGCTGGTAATGGATTCGATATTACTATTCCCACACAATGAACCAAAAGCTCGGTGGGAACGCCGGGATGATGCTGTTTACGAGCACCCGCACCCCGGCAGAGGGGCGCTACCGGCATCGGGCGGGAGCTTACCATCGCCAAAAATTTACTTTACGGGCTGAAAAAAATCATCCTGCCTACCGGCACGCGAATATGCGTCAACAATGTTCAAGGCCAGCCGAAGAACTAGCGAGACGCACTGTCACCGAGACATGTATAATATATACTGTATATCTACGGCGCTGGAGCACAACAACGTGCTACGCATCAAAATGGCATCCCGTGTGGGGTCGATAACTACCGATAGTATTAACTCAAATACCCTCTTTTTCGAATCGGAACCCAATACGGCGCGATTACCGTATGTTTGCCTCAAAGTCTATTTTGACATCTGTCAGGATTCAATAAAATTTTGGGATGCTTGATCAAGAGTAATTTCATTAACTATATTAAGAATATCTCCACTAAGTCTTTCTCACATAGCGGTGAGCGCAATGATCCCAGGCTATCTCGGCCCGTTGTGAGGAGATAAGTCGTTCGATTCTGCGGAGGAACATTCCGGACAATACCCGTGAATTGGATACGTCCACCTCGATGCTGGCAGCGGGGCCAGCGCTGTATTGGCAGGCCGATGGAATTTCCGGTCTTCCGGAATTTTAAATCCATCTGCATGGAGATACTCGTACAACTCCGTGGGCACCACCACCTCCTTGATATATAATGACCGCCTGTTATCTGATGTCAGCGCGTGCCAGTGCGTCTAGGCGCTTGAGGGGAAATTTTGGTTTCCAACTAGTGGCATAGCTGTTGTGTAATGGATGGCTGCGGCGGTTTTGGTTGTGTGCCATGGTGGGCTATCGTACTAGGGTATGGACATGGGTGACCGGACAGTCAGGGATTAGAGGTGTCCAAGCTTTTTGCTTGTTTGAGCAATCTCCATACCAAACCCATTCTTCTGTTTCCCATGAGGGTATGGGGGTAGAACGGCCAGGCCTCCAGGATCCTTGGCTGCCCCCCCCCACCTGTCACCAACGTCCATACCCAGGTATCTCCTCACTCACGAGGGTCCTGCCTCCTCACAATTGAGCCACTCTTTGGCAACGCGTGTTCTGCATGCGTGCTGCGAACCGCCCGATTCGCATAGGGACCACTGTTTGAACGACGTTTCCCCCACCAATCTGGGGAGATTGTTCTGACCAAGTTGGAGCGAGTGACTGGAGTGTGTAGGGGGGAGTAGGATACGATTCTCTGGAATCTTGGACTCTGGTGAAAGCCCTGTAGCTCTGGTCAGTCGGGGCGGGCTCAGCGTTGAGCTGATCGTGAAATATTTCAAAGAACCCAATCACTAGCTTTGCTGGCCGCCCCTGCTTAATGTGGAATTGCTTCCCTCGGTTTGGCCCTTATCTTTCTTTTTGTTTTGAGACATCTGTTCGTCCATGGTGTAGGGCGGTTTCTGGACGACGCAGTGGTTGGAATTTGGCGATATTGGTTCTCCTAATGGGGATCGAGTTAGTTTCGGAGGTTCAGCAGAATCAATGGTTTAGATGGAGAATCATGTTGTTGCTTTTATACCTCCGCATCTTGTCGCCGCGGTAGTTGACTACCGTATCAGCGCATTTACTGAGTCAAGGGAAAATCGGGAACTTATTGATAGGGAACCCAACATATCATCGTTCCACAAGCCATCCTAAATAATCAGCGTCGGTCGCCCCACACCCTGGCCGGTTCCAATTGCTTCCCACCACCTTCACGAAATCAGATCCATAACACCAATGTTACACCTTTGTCAGCTCGGGGATTCAATTTATTCGCGCCATCAGTGCGGGGTCGGTGAAAGACTCGGCAAACCTCAGGCTCAACAAAGGTGCTAGAGGGAGTTCAGTATGTACGAGTAACTTTATGTGGTTATGGGCTCTGTGCGGATCTTGGACGAGCGAAACTCCCCATGCAGTATTACAAGGGTCTACTCGAGTACCGGTACCGGTAGTACAGTACGGTACTCGTAGGAGGCAAGGGGTACTGGTACTCGAGTATGAGTACCCGCAAGCAGGGGTCGTGAATTTGTATGGACTCTAGATACGCACGGATTTTTTTGTCACAAATTTTGCGAATCCCTGTTCTCGGGCACTTCCTGCCTGCTACGAGAGGTGGTTCATCGCCAGAGACATTCCAGTGCTCGAGTAGAGTGATTCTGCTCTCATTTAAATCCCCGGTTTACCCCACGCTCTTCAAGAGACTGGAAAAGCCGCGATCCGTTCGCAGAGGTTTATTTGGCTCAGTGATTCTTCCTTTGTCTCCTTTTTTGTTTTTTTTTCCGCTGCTTTGTCCTTCGCTTTCCTTCGAACGGTGCCAATCCCACCCACCCACCTATCGCCTGACACAAGCTCTTGGCCATTTACCCAGATCGTGGGGCCGTGATTACTTTTTTCTGGTCTCGAGAAGCGAGAGAGAAGCGGTTCTTGGTAAAAATATCCGTCTTCCCGAAAGTTGCTTCTGCCTTCCCCCCCGCGCTACCGGTACAACAGTTGCATTTTGCGGGGTTCCTAAACGTTTATCGCGCCCACAATCGGAAAACTGAGTAGAAGAAGCATGGTAAGTTGGCCAGTTGCTTCCGCAGCTTATTCTCGACCAACTCTGGCCTGTCTCCGGAACAGACACTGATGGAGAAACATGTGCAATAGGACGAAAGAGCTGATTCTGGTATCTCTGGGGTGGTGTCCCCTCAGTCTCGCGCCGAAAAGTCAGAATCCCATTCTCACAATGCCTATCCATAAACAATTTTGTATTGACCGAATCTAAAAGCTATCTTGCGACCGAGGATGATACTTTCTCCGTTTCGTCGTCGATACTCGATTACGCCTATGAGAATGGGAGGCGATACCATGCATTTCGACAAGGCATGACCTCGCTCTTCCACCCTCACCCCATTTTCCGCCAGCAGACTAACTATAACAGGGGCATATTATGCGCCGAATGATGAGGTTCGTACCAGATTGGCAGCAAGGGAGTTTATCTAACAATGCATAGAATCAAAACAATCAGCTAGATATCTTGTATATGTCCTGTCACTAAGTGTCGAGGAGGCGGCTAACCATCAGAAAGCCATCACATATACCTCCTTCTCTTGGGCGGAGATCTCTATATAGCGCCGATAGAGCGACCAAAGGTAAGTTTTACCCCCTAGTCTGTTATAGATGCTGAACCTTTCATGAAATAGCGAATTCTGGACGTTGGGACCGGGACAGGAATGTGCGTCGAGATCTCCTACCCCTTGAAATTTCCCGTGCAATGGCACTCGATAACTGACTTACAATAACGCAACTATCAGTTGGGCAATGGACATAGCCGACAAGTTCCCAGACGCAGAGGTGGGTTGAAACCTTTTCTACTAGTCATGTTCGAGACGCCGCTAAGTAGCTCCTGATGTTGGTTTTAGGTTATCGGCACTGGTAAGGCGGCACCATATCGTGTAAGATCGTGTGACCAGGCAAACGCTAATATATTGGGTAGACCTTTCACCAATACAGCCCGAATGGTATGTCACTTTTCTAATAGCCCGATACCCTGCGTATTTGGAAAGCCGGTACCGGTGGTGCATTGGGGCCAATTACATGGTTAATTATGTACTTTTCTCCGCTTTAATAGGGTTCCCCCAAACGTCCACTTTGAAATAGACGATGCAGAAAGCCCTTGGACTTATCCCGAGAGTCATTTCGATTTCATCCACATCCGCTGCCTTTTCGGTGCCATTGGTGACTGGCCCGCGCTGCTCGAACAGTGCTACAAGTATGAATCCGTATTACCCTCTCGGTCCCTGTCCGGTTTGAACTGACATGTGGTTGAAGGTATCTAGCGCCCGGCGGATGGGTCGAAGTTGTCGAGATGAAACTCCCATATGATTGCGACGACGGAACCTTAGCAAGCGACTCCTACCTCTACAAATGGTGCGAATACGCTCTCGAAGCCGGCAAGGAGTCCGGGCGGAGATTCGACATCACTGGTGAAGTATACGGATGGCTGGGTCGTGCCGGATTCACAGATTTGCGGGAAAGAAATATGAGGTATGTGTGGGCGGCTCATGAGGGCAGAACATCATCCGAAGAAAGGAGCCAAATCCCGCTGACTATTATTATGGACAGAGTACCAATTGGCCCTTGGTCAAAGGATCCTAAGGAGAAGGAGGTTGGAAAATATAACCTTTTAAACCTCCTAGAAGGCATGGTATGAACTTGCCCCCTCAGCCACCCACGAGAGATGTAGAGGGTTGATTGAAATGAAAAAACAGGATGGCTTCACAACGGCACTCCTGACAAGGCATCTCGGCGTAAGTTATCGCATCCGCTCTCCTACCCCCCGACTAATATTCCCTAGTGGAAACCAATCGAAGTACAGGCATTCTACGGTGGCATACGCCGCGAAGCGACGGACCCGAGGATCCACTCGTACTTTAGACAGTAAGCCTCCGTCCATTCAACCGCGCTTAATTGATTTTTTCTTCTCCAAACAATTACTGATTGTGCATGATATGAATTGCTGGACAGATATTACTGGGCCGGCCAAAAACCGATACGCACTGCATGAAATGAAGTTCGGGGGATAATTTCGCCCCCCATTTTTTTAACACCTCCTTTTATACGATACCTGCTGAAATATGGTAATGCTCGGCCCACATGAAAAGAAGCGGTAGGTAGTATGGGAAATGGCGGTTTCGGCGGGGATGGGACATTAGTGGGGTAGAGCCTGGCTGGTTGCCAAGTTGCAGAGAGCGCCTGATAGGGAGGGGGATAACGGTATCTACGTCGACTTTTTTTTCCTTTCTTTCTCCTGCTCTATTGTCCTCTAGCCGTGCTGTTACTTTTTCCCTTTCGAAGCACTTGGGAGACGTAGTCTATTTGTAAATTTGGAATTCAAGATAAGTTACTCGTCGTTTCCTGGCGTTTGTGAGCGCACCCTGGTCTGTATATAGCGTCAAGACTAGATGCATGAGACCTGATGAGAAGTACTGTACTTGTAGGTTGCAAATTTCTTTTTCTTTTCTTTTCTTTTCTTTTTTGAGTGATTCCCAGGAGTACTGGTAGTTTTAATCATCCAAGGCTTTTCAAACCTTCATAATCACAAAATGTCGGTTGCAGCTGGCAACTGCAATAATCACAAGTTGTCATAATTGACCATTCTCAAGTTCCAAGAAGTGTGTCTGGTCGCCCGGAAAATCAATCCCAGTGGTTGTAGTGGGTGGTTGTGACCCATGCACACAGTTCCAAAATATAGGATTGTGAAATACCAGTATTTCACAAACCTTCATTTTGACATTATTATCTCATTTTTCACCATCTCATTTTCATGTCGGCCGGACACACACCACTTAAAAGCTAAAAAGAGTTTTCTGGGAAACCCATAATCAGGGAAATAATGAAGGTTTGGCGTGGCGACCAGACGCGCCCTAAATCCAGGTTATATTTCCTTGTTTTATGCGTTTTTGGGCTCTCTGCTATTGGTATAAGATGCATATGCAGGAAAATGTAGGCCTAACCGTCAGAACATTACGAGTACTGTACGGTGCAGTAGACTGTGAAAGCTCTCGCATATCTCGTGCGCGCAACCAGTACACAAACCCGCGAAGATCCTCCCCATCAGGGCGTCGCCTCGTGATCGAGCATAGCAGGCGCAGTACCGTGATCCAAACAAGTTGTCAGCACTAGCTTAGCCCCCCTATGATATCGTCCGGTGGAAAAAAAATATATTCACCCCCAATCACTCGCCCGGCCCGGCCCGCGGCCCGCGCAGCTCATTACGCGATACCTGAAACATCCTCCCTGGTCTCATCTCCCATGAAGTTCGGAGCCCATCACGGGGGCGGAGAGGGGATTGACGGTTAGTAATTCCGTTCCCCCGTTTCACCGGCTACCGGGGGGATTCTCGCTGGGCGGGGATCACTTTGCCGTTCGTGCTGAGCATATTGGCTAGCCCCCAACCTACTGTATGAGTCTTGCCCTCTCGCGCCCCAACCAGGCATCCCCATCCCCGGCGTTACTGGCGAAGATAGCCTCGTGGTAGAACAATTTTATAACGTTCGCGTTAGCATAGTTCGGCGTCCTGGGTACTATATCCCTGTTCCCATCCTCCTACGTACTAATTATATGAGGCGCAAAGAGCGGGGCGTGGGCAAAAAGCCCCCGCAACAACGTCAATAACGGAGCGGAAGCACCTCGCGTATGGATCCCAATTGGGTCAACGGGATTCTTCTCATAGATGTGCTTGGCACCGCCCCATCTGAAGCACAATTTCCAGATGCCGAGGATGAGGTAGTTCTTTAACATCCGGAATCTGTGAATGAAGGTGTGCTAGGGGTGCGTCTTTGATTGCTGCTAGGACTTCTGTTGCGCTGTTGTCCCTGCGAGCGTGGAAGGAACGATATGCGAAAGTTCTGGTGTGCGTGTCTAATTGTGCTATAGTTGTATGGACCACCTACGGGCGGGCGGGTCGGTGCGTGCGTGTGCAGCGCTTAGTGGACCGCAGAGGTCGGAGTGTAGGTCTCGTTGTGGTGCTCGAGTATTATGGATGCTTTTCTGGCTTTAAATCGCTTCCCTTGAGAAGCTGGGTTACTACCGCATCAGTCCTCACTCACTACTCTTCTCCCCCCCTACGCCGATGCCGGGGAAGTCGACAGATATAGTAACGCCCACGTCTATACAAGTACAACTGCTGGCTCCCTTGTCATTCCTATCCGGTGTTGCAAGCGCGCTATTGGCGCTGAAGAAGTACAGTAGGACCCGGGCCTTGCATAGGGCGGCTCGCACGGGTCGTGTTTCTGCTCGAAGGTGAGGTGGGGACGGGGAGGCTAGCTGTGTGCCAGACACGGGTGAGGATTCCGGAGGAGGTTAGGCGAGAGGTGTGTGTTGCTCTTGCTACGAGTACTAGCCGTTTTTTTAAGTCTCCGGAATGTAGATGACGGTCCAAGTTACGCCAAGAGTCAACTTACACATGGGTCATTTAAGATTTTCTTGCCGGGGGTGCAGAGGAGGATCATGTTGCTCACGCCTACGATGATGAAAATGGCATTGACTGAGAAGCCAGAAGTGCCCATTAATTAGTAGTCTGTAGAGTCTAATTATAATATGGGCGGTAATCAGACTGGTTGTCAGGCTCCGGCCTCTTAAATTCTCTCTTCTATTGGCCTATTCTTTCCGGTTATTTTGCCTCTCCACTCCGTTAAGCATGATAGTTATTCCCTCCTTCGACCCCAATACATTTAGCTATGATACTAGGAAGTTTAGCTACCTCTTTATTGATCTCCTCAATTGTAAGCCTTTCCCACTCCTCCTGAAGAACGAGCCTCATTTGTAGTAGAGCAGTGATTCTCTCATAACCACGGCGGGTTTGAATACGGCTTTTCATCAAGGCCCATATATGCTCAATGGGATTGAAATCGGGAGAATTTGCAGGCCAGTCTACCTTCTCAATCCCTTCTTCTTCCCTTTGAGCATTAGTGAAAATGGAGTCATGTGCTGGTGCATTGTCCTCCATTAGCACAAAGGAAGTATTGAACTCCAACCGCTCACGACATGTAGGCCAAAGAAGTGGTTGGGCAACACACTTCACATAGCGCCAAGAATCAATACCCCTTCCTTCCCCCCTCTTATATTTTGCTAGCTTAAATTTTTTGCCCCAATGGGTTTGAGGTACCCGTTCCTTAGGTGCATTTTGGTGCTTTTCCGCATGGCGTTGGGTAGAGAAGTCTGCTAATTCTGTAGTTCTCAGGTCCTCCCACTCCTCCGAGCTCCTCCATTCCTCATTCAACCTCTTCTCCTCTGCCTCCCTTCCCTCCTCTAGTAATGCAATAGCCCGTACTGCCTCCTCCTTTTCCTCACTACTTTCAATCTCCCATACATAGAATGGTCCCTTCCATCCCCATCCTATCATGCCCCAGCACATTACACTTTCTCCCTGCTTTTTCTTCCATCCCACACAGTCATCGTGCCACTTTTCTGTTTTATCTCGCCAGACAAGATTCAACCCAAAGAGTCCCCCCACCTCAATTGACATCTCATCTGTGAACCCATAATTCCTCCATTCCTCCATCCCCCAGTCCTTTCTCTCCATACAGTAATTAAGCAGTACGACTTTATTTTCAGTCTTAAGAATAAATTTAAACAACTCTTTATATGCTCTAATCCCACGAGACCGCAGAGCCTTCCAAATTGTGGAATTGCTAACGTGGGAAAGCCCAGCTTACTTCCGAATATCGACAAGACACATTCGCCGAGTACTGAAGTCGTGCCTTACTGTGGACACGAGGTGGTCGACTTCCGCATTGGAGAGAGCCTTCGGATGGCCGGAGCGGGGATTCTTATCCAAGCAATCCTTCGAGAGCAGCTCACAAAGTGATATATTATCCCTATCTCTGCTTCGCATTTCTCTCCTCCATCCCACTCCATCCATTTCACTCGCCAATAATCCTTCCCTCCCCAACCAGGCCAAAACCATTGGATTCCCAAACCTCTTCCAGCCCAGCCCCACCCGGAGCACTAGGTGTAGCTGCCTCTCGTTTCGTGATCGCATTTTTCATCGCGTGATGGTGAATATCACTCGCAGTTGAAATTGCAACACCGGTACGCGTCTTTATTTCCTTAAACTTATAGCCGAGTTCTCGCATAGTAATGATTGCTGCTCGTCTGCGAGGGGTTATTTCTCTTCCTATACCACCTCTAATATGAGTACCTTCTTTATTAAACAGAGTGGATTGAATTCATGGCACGTACCTTTTAGGTGATTCGCAGCTGCCATAGTTGTGGTTGGTTGCCGGAGAGGAATGTTACATGCGAGAAAATATACCTGTGATCGACAACTTACACATTTGCCAAGGCAACACTTACCCCACGGCAGGATACCTTACACTGAGCCATTCCGGAGACTTAAAAAAACGGCTAGTACTGCCCCCGAGGAGGAGGGAAGGGAGATGGTGAAGCGGTGGAAAGTGGCGAGGCCGTTGAACTAGTACCGGTAGGGGAGGGAAGATTAGGAAGGGAGTGTAGTTACTTTCTAGGCATAAGCCAGGATTGTCCTAATGACTTCCAGGTCTATCGGGGCAGATTTCTCCGGGTGGGTTGTGAACTACGGTTTTATTAGCTATGTAGCGTCGAGAAAGTTAGGATGCAATTGCTGGCTTACTTGTACGTCAACATCCCCATCACGAACCGATATTGGCTTGCAGTCAGTAGTATGGGGGGTGTCTGTTATGCCTAATTCGTAGCGGAACATACCGTACTCGAGTATTCAGCGAGGATGGTCCAGGTTGTTGCACTGTGTTCTACTACCCCCACTTTTATCATACCACACAACGAATCCTCGAGTACCGGTGCTGTAATTAGAGGGATCTAGAACTGAAGCCTAATCCCTACGGAAAACGTCGTAACCATAGCAATAGTGATGAATTAGGAAAGGCGAAATACCAAGCCCTTGCGCCAAGAAGTTTCTGTAGGGATCAAGAACACCCGTCGGCAGGTGCTCGAGTATTCGTACCGGGGTTACGGGGAAGTGAGGCGAACTGGTTCTCATTGGTTTCCGGCTCACTTAGCCAATGATAGAGCAAAGATTCTACGAGTACTTGTGGGGTCCGGAATTTTTTGCGTTCGCCTGACTGTTCCCCCTCTCAAAAAACCGCGAAGAATCAGCCAAGATTGGCTGTCTCTATGGTTATACTCACCAAATTCTGACCAATGAAACCCCCCTTCGCCTCTCTCATGCTCGCCCCCTAAGTACTGTACTCTTACAAGCACAATACCGGTACTCGGGTGGGGGTGAAGTACCGTACGGTATTGGGACAAGAAGGGCGCTTGAGGTAATTGTGCGAATTACTTGAAGTGGGGTTGAAGATACCAATTTGAGTATGATAATTTGAACAGACATCGGGCATCGAACCCCTGCTTGTCCCAATACTCGAGCACTTTACAAGTACCCCTACCCCGAGTAGGTGGTAGGGGTACAGTAGTGGCAATCCTTGCGAGAGGTGCGAAGATGTAAAC